CTAACCGTGACAATCAAAATAGTTTGTTCAAAGTGATTTGAAGTGTTTTAATTTGCATGTTGTCAACTTTGTCTGATGTCAAGAAGCATGCAAAAATGAATTGAATAAAAATGCAAGTTGGAACCAACCAAAAACTATCCATAAATATTATGCTTTTGTCACAAGTGCTGTTGTCAACAGATAGGTGAGTTGAGATGATGTTCATCATATGGGCTACTCTAAGTTAGGTTAAGTTGGTCAAGTGCATGACAAGTGGCAATAGGAATAGTGCAAGAATCATTAACTCACAACTGTTGCTGAGATACAAACAGGTTATACGGGATGAGATGGTGTAAGGCCTCTTTAGGTTATGCACGGGCTACTTTCGTGGAAATAAGCATTGGTATTTTGTAAGAAACAGTGACAAAATGTTTGTTTTCACTGACCCCATCTTAACAGAAGCCGGAGTATGTCTATTGTCTTTGACTTAGTGCTGGGCTGATGTGTAGGAGTCCAATGTTTTTATTTGAGTGTTTTATGCCTGCTGAATTTTCTGTTGTTATATTGTTATTGAATTTGCTTTGCTTTGCTTTGTTTTGTTTTAAAAGTACTGTGGAAGGGAATTGAAAGGTGCAGCATCAAATTATTGGTGTTAATAATTTGTTATGCTCATAATACTGTCATGGAATTACTATGCTTTAACACGCGCCCGGTTGGCCGGCTAGATACCCTTCGCTCGGGTGTGTGGGGAGTAATTTGACCCCCCTCCCTCTGAGATCTCGGGAACTAAGAAAGCTAGAGACACCAAATTTACAGGGTGTCTTGACCTATACGTGAAGTCACTTAGGTTAGGGTTCCACCTACCTAGGTCATGATCTTCAGGTCGAATAAAGTCAAACAAGGTTAAATTCCAGGTTGGTCTCCAAAGCGCCCCCAAAACCTAGGCAACTGTCTCTAAGCAAAAGGTCACAAGCCCATTTGAGGTCATTGACCTTGTTTGACCCTTTGAAGGTCATAGTGACCAAAATGATACAAGACTGCCCTGCGTTTTTATTTGAATAAGCGACAAAGATTACGCTAGGCAGTATTTTCCTAAAACAAAACGTTCGACCCGGGTCGTCTTAGGTCAATGGCCTGTTCTGACCTCTAAGAAGCCAACTGAAAAGGTATAATGCGGATCCTGCTGTCAATAAATTCGAAATGAGTACCAGAAGCTATCCCATACAGCAACCCCTAAAGTAATAAATCAGGTTGGTTTTGATCTTGGTCTGACCATCATACCTGACCTCAGGTCAACGTAATTTGCTCATTCAATATTTGCGGTGCCTAAGAAAGCATCTGAAATGTTTATGTCTTCGTCAAACACTCCGTTGTTGTATCAGATTGAACGTTTCCCTAGAAATTGCCTTCGCTGAAACCATGGGCTGACTTTGACCTGCCATAGGTCAGCGATGTTACAAGGTACATCTAAAATTGGTATGTCAAACGATCTGCTATGCAATTTTCTACAGCTATGCAAAATGCGGCGCGGCTACGCCGCGCTGTTCAAAAACCATTCGGGAAAAGTCCTCGGGGGGTCAATTTGCCCCGCTCACCCGAGCGCGTGTTAATGTATTCCGTTCCACTTTAATGGCCTAAGATGTTAAAAAAACGAAATAGTTTTGTCAGGTTTCTGATATTACGTCCATGCCAACTTGAAATAGATGTCTTTGTTTGCTGAAGCATCCGTCGCGAGCTCATAAGTTCCGTCTTTTGTGAATGGATTTTTTCACTCCCGCACGGTCTTTTTGCGATGGAATTTTTCACTTCCACCCTAGTTTAAAAGCAATTCTATCTCCCTGGGAAGAGCTGCCGATGGTCTCTTAAGGCACAAGGTCTCTTACCAGATGTTCCTAAAGCGAGGAAAGGCCTAGGCATTCCTGACGTGGACAAGGAGAAAGCAAAACTGTTTAACGAGTCGGACCAGGCCAGCTGGATAGGTACGGGCAAAAACGACTATGTCACGGTCCGACAACTCGATGGAACCAAAAGAACGGCGCAAAAAGACTTATCTTGCGGAACCTGCGTGAAGTGCACGACGTTTACAAGCGGGAGAAACCCTTCTATCGGCTTCCCGACATTTGCTGCGCTTCGTCCGAAGCACTGCGTCTTGGCCGGCAGCAGTGGTACGCGTTCCGTATAGCGTGTGCATATATCATCAACGTACAAAACTGCTCATATCCACTCCCGACCTTCCTGATCTGAAATACCGTTACCTCCTCGATCACGCCGGACGTGACACGGAAAACCGTGATTGCATGACGGGGGTCGTACGGACTGCCCTGGTGAGGAGGGAGTATTGGAATTTTTAAGGCATATTCTCGGACAAATCAGAGGACAGCGACGAAGGAGGTACAATCCTTGATGGTGATATGAATGGTGATGTTCGGTTTAAACAGTTGGTGAACACGGATCGCTGTGTGCTAGTGGAAATCGTCGGAACAAAGGAAAATAGCATGAGATCTCTTAGTCAGCAAATCGCAAAATTGACCAGACGCCACCTTGTAGCTGATGGGCGGGATCAGTGCCTTGCCCCTACAAAGGCCACTGCCAGCGAGGGCAAAGTGGTTGTCCAGGGCGACTTCCCTGAAGATTACTTATTCGTAGCACAAGACGCGGTCAAAGCCCTCACTGGGACTCCTCTCAGTGCATTGTGCACCCGTTCGTGGCATACTGGCGAGCCATCAGAGCTTCTGTCTCAGCTCTGATTGTACAAAACATAACAACGGCATGGTTCATGCGTTTTTGCAAAGACTTCTCCCAGACCTTCTTGCTTAGTTGCCCAATTCCAAAAATATTTATTTCCCAGACGGACAGTGCCACAAGGTGTAAAAATAAGTAAACTTCATCAAGTGTATGCCCCTATGAGGCTGACTTTGGGCTGTCCTGTGAGGGGCATTCTTGCCACGTCGCATGGTAAGGAGACCTGTAGCGACATCTGGGACACGGCCCCTAACCAGGGCTCCATCCAGCTCCAAACAGTCCTCCGTTAACCTCTGGACGTACAGGTTTGGTGGCTAAAACAATGTCCCTCTAGAGATTCCCAATACTAATAATCAGTCAATTAGTTAGTTTATAGCTTTCAGTATGATTCTCGAGTCTTGACTGATAAATATTGAAAAGAACTCATCTGGGGGCTCTGGACATGCACTGAGTTACCCCTGATCGTTGATATCCGCACTGATATATTAAAGTTTATAGTATCTCTAGGTTGACCGGTAGAAATTATCTGGATGGAAACTACTACACTTGTAAGCATTTGGTGACATCACTTGCTCGTAAAGCAGAGCACCGATGTTCTGACTCATGCTCTGCACAAACCCGCCAACGTCAGAGAGTGCAGACACAGACCAATACTAAGCATTGCGTGTCGACGGACTGGGATGCTCTGCAATAAGCTGTTTCCATTTTATGGATTGTTTTTCACCGGACGACTCACAAAATTTACCATTTTTGTCACCGATCATATCACGAAAATATGAAGCACTTTCGCCACTCATGACAGTTTTAAAGATAGCATTCCACATTTACGTGGGGATTTGGACTGAAATAGTCATCTTGAGAGACCTTTTCGGTGCTGTTTTGTACCCTGCCCTTCTAAAGACCTAGCTTCTCTAGGTTTTGAGGAACACGCCCGCAAAAATGGGGAGAATATTTCGGGGAGAGTATTTCAAAGTCACCTCACACTCATGACGCCATGATAGCGTCATTCAAATCCTGCCAATCCATAGGCCATGCAGCGAACCGGGTCAAGAACAATATAGTTGTCGAGGCGTTCATATCTGGCGTTCGTGAGCACGATTTCCAGATACAACGCCGTCAATTGGCTCTCAAGCAATGTTGTGCAAGGTACGATGGCTTAATCAAACCATTACGCAATTGAGGACATATTTACTAAACGGAGAATTGTGCTGTCCAAAGCAGCCTTTTTCGCTTAAACTATATTAATAGTTATGCTACCCTGTTTTATCGTATCTGTTGCTTACTTCATTATCTTCAAATGTGAAACATTCCCTTCAATATTCCGTCATCGTTGCACAATGCATCCAATAGCTCTGGTCATCAGCTTCTCAATCTCAAGTGCCGAGTGCATCATATGATGTAGAAGCCCGAACCCGACTGCAAGTCTGTTCGCAGCCAATAAACTTGCGACACGGCTGAAAGGGATGAACGAGCGATCCAAACAGCTGAGCTGCTCCCCGCCCCTACCCCCCCCCCCCCCCCGCCCACACACTCAGGACCGCTTCTTAACATGCCACACCGCAACTGATGAACAACAAGGATTTAAGGAACGCATTCAAAAGGCTTGGTGATGGCCCGGCACAAATCCGCGGCCAGCCTCCCCGCTGCATCGGCCGATGAGGTCTGACAGTTGCCACCAGCCTCGGCCAGCCTCCCCGCTGCGTCCGCCGCTTAGTTCCGACGGTTGCCACCAGCCCGGCCAGCCTGCTCGCTGCATCCGCCGCTGCGGTTCGACAGCTTGCCACCAGCCCTCGGCTAGCCTCTCCGCTGCCCGCTGCGTCCGCCGCTTAGTTCCGACAGTTGCCACCAGTCCATGGCCAGCCTGCTCGCTGAATCCGCCGCTGCGGTTCGACAGCTGCCACCAGCCCCGACCAGCCTCCTCGCTGAATCCTGCCGCTGCGGTCTGACGGTTGCCACCAGCCCCAGCCATCGGCTGACCTTGTCCCGTTCGCGCGGACAGGGTGGCAGGCCCGACGCGAGGCGGCTTGGTATCAGAGGTGCAAATTGACACAAGCGAAGCGTGTCTGCCCGACAGCGTCGGACGAGTGTGGACGTGCGTTAGAATAAAATGACCGCTGCAGAACTCCACCGCGAGCATTTAACGTGAGCTGAGCTACAGGGGCTGGCTCACAGCAGCGTACTTCCTCAGCCGCATCACCTCGACCCGGTGCATAGCGGGAGCCAGTTTTCAGCTCCGCAAGTAGACTCAAGGCTCTTGCTAAGGTCCGAAGTGCACCCAGGGGATCGGGCGCCTGTGCAGTGAGCCGGCCTGTTTCGAAGCGTTCAAGAGGCGATTTACGAGGTGTTTCCTTGGCGTTTTTGCAGGTTTGTTCTCTGTGCAAAAGCCCGTCTGTGCTTAATGGCAATTAGCAAAAAATGTCCGTCTCGCGTGCGCTCCATCACTGCTTTCGTTTCTGCGTGATTGATTGCTGCTGGCGTTATTGTTGTACGAACCCCGGACGCTCACACTCAGTCCTAGTCTGCTGGTCGACCAGAAACCCAGGAGGGAAGTTTCCTACTCAGCCGCGGCTTCAGCTCTCCCTTTTGGCCTCCCCCTCCCCCCTCCCCCATCCCACCCCACCCAAGGACATATACAAACTTGTGTAAGGACGTGGTCTGAATTCTGGGAGAAGCCCGTCTGTTGGCACATTTTGAGGGTAGAATGCGTCACTTTTACTCCTCATGTCCGCTCCCCCAGCCCACATGTCTTGCAAAATCTAAGCCCCTGCAGAAATCGAAACAGTGGCGTCTTGGAGTCACGGACGCAGCGGCAACAGTACCGTGATCCGATGAACTTCTTCAAATCATTTTTAGCGCCGTGCATAAATCCATGAGAAGGCTGTAGTCTGCTTTGTTCCGTTGGTGCTTCATTCCCTGACTTTTTAACAGTCCCCAACATTTGTTTACTGGGATTTTAAATTCTCTTCAACCTGTGCCCAGGCCGTATTTTGACATGTAAACTGTGCAGGCAGATGCCTCCTCAATGACCCAAAATGTCTACCCGCTAGTGAAATCTCGCCTCCTCAGTGCAAACAATGTTGAACGGACGAATAATTTTGGAGAGCTGAGTAGTCGTCGTATTTACTGAATGGTATAGATCAGTCAAGTAAGTAAGATTGTGCACCAGTAGAAAACTGGTGCACCAGATCTCCAAAATGCGGTATGCTGATTTAAGTGCGGTAAAAGTTTTCCATCCTCCATCCCCCCCCCCCGTCCACCCCGGCCGCGGGGCTTGCCTCCCAAGTAAGGTCCTTTGAATACCCTGAGCCTGGCCCCGCACTTTTGAAACGTTCCTACGCCTATAATTTGTGCGATGTGCAATGTTAGATCACGACTCAGGTTACAACGTCTTCAATGCGATCGAAATCCTTGAAACTTATGCAGATGCAATGTGGTTAGTGTAAGTCGCCGGCCACCTTACCGCGATTTTGATCCACCTACCTCTTGACTCAGACGCTTTCCACTTTGGGGCAGTACTGTGGGCTGGGCGATGTGATATCGTGGTGGAGAATCCGTCATGTGTGACGACCGTGACGCTTTCCGCCACAGGGATGTAGATCTGCAAAGCAGGTTCGGGGCAACAATGCGGCTAAAACTGGCCCTAAAACGCACTAAAAGCAGGCTTCTCCCCGGACTTGGCCTTCTTTGTTCTCTAAGTTACGGAGTTTGTGTCTACCCCAGCTGAATAGGACAGGGCACTCCTGATCCAATATGCTTCCTCGCTCTATCCTGGTGGGAGAATTTGTTGTCGGGCATCATTATCATCTTGTTGCACCCTGATCGTCTAACTCAGGTTTCGGTAACCGACGTAGGGTCGGTGTTACGTAGCTTTAGACGTTGTTGGACGTGTATGACTTAGGGAATAAGGTGAAAGTTTGTGTCCATGACTGCTTAAGGCTGCCACGGAACCCCCGGTAGGTAGCCGCAAGGCGGACTTCAGGATGCAGCGCAGAAATCGCGGTAGGCGTGTCAACGCCTAGTGTTGTTTTGCTGATCATTGTGGGACGATTATCACTATCGGTTTAATCGTGCGGTGTTGATGGTCAGGTTTTCTCAACTGTTCATTCAATGCTCACGTCGAAGTGGAGGTCGTCGCATTTCAACGGTTATTCCGAACACGCGAATGGTAAATTGGTCACGTTTTTGGGTGTGATTATTAAACCGGATTGTTTTAATTCTCCGATAACACGTCGTGCCAAAGATCGCTGCGAATGTAGGTTGTTGCAGCCTATAGAACTTGAAACATCGCTGAATATTGCTAAAGCATGGAGGCAATAACACAGTACTAGACCAGAGTTAGCGATACATACGAATAGTGCAATTAAAACATGCAGAATGCGACAAAATCAGAAAACACTTCAGTTAATATGGTACGAAAGCGTAGCTCCAAAAATTTGGCCAGATCCATCAGCTGCACTCAACTGAGAATCTCACCGCAGTTTGCACTTCCTTTTTTACCTGTGAAACAAATATAAGAAATGCTTAGAATTTACACGATTTGGAGCTCTCTTGCTCTCTTTTTTAAATGTTTTACACATACATACTAAGATTCCAGAAGTTTGGGAGCCAAACTCACGGCTGAGCGGCCAAATTGGACTTTTGGGGTTTCAGTGGCCCACCCAAAAGCATAGAAATGGACACCCGTGCCGGCGAGTAGCGAATAAAAAGTTTTTGACTTTAAAGATCTATCTATGAGTCCCGATAAGTAGTGGTACGACGTTACCACATGATGTGAGCTATTGTGGAATGTATGTGATAATGTAAGCTAATGATGTGATGCGGTCACCAGCATGGCTGAAGATCGCCCTCCAAAAATGATGGGGTATTACAGCTCTGCTGGGGTACACAGATCTAGGGATGTGGAGTATTAGAGCCGAGCTGAGCATAAATAGGCCGACTCCTTTCTCCCAATTTGGAACACGGTGATGCTGGATAATTTTACTTGCCCTTAGATTACAATTTTAGAAAACAAGTAGGGATTTTGCCGGTAGAACAATATCATAACGTCTCTTTTCAAGTTCCATCTAGCTTGAGCACCTTATTTGTGCAATCAGGAGCAACCCAGATTTTACTCTTGTGGACAGCACTCTTTACCAATAATTTTCTGTGCCGGGATACTTGGGTATTCTAATAAAAATGTAGTTATCAGCAGCACCGTTTTGAGCAGCTGCTGGAAGTGGATCGTTCACGATGTGATAAACCTTTCCATGGAGAAGCTGTATCAAATCACGGTACTTCTAGTACCGTGCCTGGATCCTCCTGGCTGATCCTGGGCCTTGTCGTGGTCATACGTATCAGTCAGCGGCAAATTGACCAAAAGGTGCAAGGCAGCTCTACGCAGCTTGCAGAGATGCTCCTTTACATTTTACCAGGCGCAGAGTTCCAATACTCGGCCACTTGGGTGGCAGGGATGTCGGTATTTTGTCATGCTATGACACCGCGAATTTGGGCTCACTACCTGTGGCCCCTCGCCTTGCTCAAGATCGGCCAATCAGCATCGAACTGGGCGGGCTGTCAAACCAGTATCTATGCGCCTCAGGCTTGACAAATGGGCTGAGTAGGTCAGATGTCTGGGTCGGGGTCAAAGGGCAACGGATTAGCGCCAAAGAATTGAGTGCGGGGACCGCCGAAGAGCCAGGATTCTGGTAGCATGAATTTATACTAACGTCCTGAACATCCTACTGGATGAATTGTGGAACGCTGACCAGGTGGTATTTGCACACAAGCGAGGACTGCTGTACGTGTCAGCAGGGCTATGCATGCTGACTGACCCATTTTGAAGGCAACTGAGATGCCCCTCGGCAAACAAAGGGACTTGAGTCGTACCGACCCTGCGTGGGTAAAAGGTCCACAAATATCCGAAAGCCCGTGAGGATTTAGAGAGCTCTGGGAGGTTAAATATATCCTAAGTGGCGCGTGGAATCCCTGAACACCAGGAGGGACACCTCAATGATCACAAAACTGCATGGTAGCTAGAGTCGTAGATTAGAAGATTCGTAGTCGTAGGTAGTAGATTAGTCGTAGGTAGTCGATAGTCGTAGGTAATAGATTCAGAGACCCCCCCCCCCCCCCACCATGGTCTCGAAAGGTCCCTGGGCAATGCATGTGGCCTTGGGCATTTAGTACTACTTTTGGGGCGTCCAAAGTGCCTTTTGAGTGGCCGACGGGCGCTGACAAGCCAAAAGAACTGACGGGATGGGTACGGATGGTATGAGAGCAATCAAAAGAGCCCTGAGCAGTTACAAAAAGTATTCAGGATGTCGTTAAGACAGAGGATACAGCTAGAGACCTCTTAAGCAGCCAGACAGGTCGTTCAGCGCTCAGCTGGCCGTCAGCATCCAGAGCAGCCCTTCAGTGGCCACACGAGCCTAAACAAGTAAAAGGAACGTCCCACCTTTTTACACTTTTCACTCATTGTTAGATCAGACGCGTACGGTTTGATCAGTGATATCAGTTTTTTTCGAAAGCTCTTCTGAATAGCTAAGAATTTTGATTTGAAGTAGCCTCTCCTGCGGGAGAAATTTTATTTGACACCCTGCACACCGCCATGCAAGTAATGCATTGCATTCTGTCTTCCTTTTTACAACGTGTGTGTTCTGTGGTGTTTGCAGCACTCAAATGGGTCAAAATATTTCGTGTAATAAATGCTACGAAAGCCATCTCTTGAAACAAAACGATGTGCGAACGTGCAGCTAGTTGTGTCGCAAATTCACCGAAACGTTACGCTATGACACTGATTTTTCCCTTATGAGGTTTACCGCAGCGGCCTCTTTTCGAGGCGTACTTTGGCTTTGTAATGGGGAGTGTCACACTGGTCCATAGTGACGTACTGGTTCAACCAGTGCGATTCTCGGTAACGGACCTTGCCGCCGCTGAGCCAATCACACACGTTGTTTTATTCGCACCGGTTGGCCCGCGCGGCGGTTGTGATAGGCAACAGGTGGTCGCGACTGCGAGGAAGAAGTGTAGTGCTTGTTACTAAGCATCGACAGCGCCATTTGGGCTCAAAGTCATCAAAATTGATATCCCTGTTATGTCTTGACGGTGCTGCAGCAGCACCACCCAGTGCTTTTATTCGACCTAACTGGTTCTGAGGTTTCACTGGAAATGTTTTTGAAGTATGCTCCAAAGGTGGGACACTCCATCTAAAGGGACCCCTGAGCGGCCAAAGGGTCGCTGAGACTGAGAAGGCATAGAGCCTTAGGGGTTTACTAGGAACCCTGAGCGTCAAAAGGGCACCTGACCTTTCATAATAGCCTAGCCACTGCTAGCCGGAATGGCTCTCGGGCGGTAGGAGTGGCCCTCTGAGTGGCCAAAACGGCCATGAGCAGCTAACAGGACCCCGGTTGTGAAGAGTCTTGAGGATGCACTAAATGGCTCTGGTGACCAAACGCACCGTCGAGTGGCCGGTGCTCCTCGGCGCTCAGAGGAACACTCAGATGACCAGTAGGGCCTCTGAACGATCAGAGGTACCCATGTGTGAATGGGGGGACCCCGGACGGCCAGTGAAGTGCCTGAGCAGGCAAACTGAAACGCCGTCGGCCAGGGGCTCCTCAATGGTCAGAAGGGTACTCTGTGGGCAGAAGGTCCCTGAGCAGCAAAACGGGCCGTGATCGGCCCTGAGTGCACTGAGTTTCCTGAGCGATTGATGCGACTCCTGAGTGGCCAAAGAACCCCGAGTAGTTTGAGGTCCTCGAGCGTCCTGTGCGGACTTCGAAAGGCCAAAGGGATCCTAGCTGAATGGGGTCTTAAGCCACCAGATTCCCCCTGGTGGCCAAGAAATCCTCACTGGATGGCCAGTGGGTGCGTGGGTATTGTCTGAACATTTTTGTTTTTTTACTTTGGCAAAGAAACTCTTCTCTCTCTTTACCCATGTGCCTTTCTCGGTCAGCAGCCGAAGGGTGTTTTGTCCCATTTCGGGAACTCACTGGCTACCGTTCTCGTGGCAAGGGGGTCGGGGTCACCTGGGCGATTTGGTAGCCATCATAGCGATGCATCATACATCGGTTCGCTCCCTTGCGTGGGAAACACTGAGCGGTGTAGTCCGCTCCCTTGCGTGGGAAACACTGAGTGGTGCAGTCCGCTCCCTTGCGTGGGAAACACTGAGTGGTGCAGTCCGCTCCCTTGCAAACCGTTTGCAATATGCATTGCATTTGCGATGCTGAATTACGATGAAAAATGTATGGGCCCCAAAAGCAGCTTATGTGAAAGTTTTTTAGGTGTGCATTTGGTACCAGTAGATTAAAAATTGAATGCTCTATTTCACTTCGGTGGGGCATTAACAATGTAACGTCCTTTTCTGCAATGCTGGGCACTTTCAGGCCAAACAGCGCAATAAAATGCTAGCCACTTGGTGAACTAACCACTCAAAAAGCAGACTAATCCATCATTCTGCCTACTTTCCAATAAGTTCAGCAGAAAGCTTGTTGTATTCTGTTTCATATTCCAGTCGGGCATTTTCGCTTTCTTCTTGTACCTTTACTTAATTTGATTATTATAATGGCATCGTGCTGGCTAATTTGGGTTGCCGCATGTCGTTTAGGCCATAAATCTCCAGCTTACCAAGGTTCGAGGCATACTTGAACTTAATAAAGTAAGATAATATTTTATTTATGAATTTTTGGAGACTGCACAGTCCTGCGAACTGAGCGGTGCAGTTAGCCCCGGCTCCGCGCAGGGGCCCTCGCTAACGCCAACAGATCCCTTCCCGGCGCACGCGGTCCCATAATTGGCACAGCCGAAACGGGGCCTGAGGGCCGTTTGTAATGTGACGTTGTTTGGCACTGGGGCTCTGTAACTGATGTAGGGTTTTTCCATTACCCAAATGAGAACTTTCTTTGGTCATTTATCATATTTACTGTCATTGACAGCGGGCCCGACCAACGCTACATGCGCTCTGACCCTCGGGGTGATCTCCCTATCCTATTCATAAAATGGGCTCCTTGACAACATAAGATCCTGTTTTGCACTGTGGACTCCTTGAACGAGACGGAGACCATGTCTTGTATACACTGACTTCAAAAGTATTTAGTTTGCCTATTATGTTATACATATATTGATTCACTATTTTCATATATTTGCCATGCATTTATTTTTTGTAATCAGCTCAATTTAACGTGTCGTTCCATTCCCCATGTGACACAACCCCGACATTTCGTTGTTTGGGCCAAAAACCACGTTGCTTGTGAAGGGAGGGATGGGGCTGGGCTGGGCGTCACCAAAGCGCAACAACGGGGGAGGGTTTTGGATAACGTCACGTTAAGCTCAAGTGTGGTTGCAAATTGGTGAAGCATCACAAGGAGCTGGGTAAGTGGGAGCTGTGGGTGTGTGTTCTCACTCTCATTTCTCAGTGGGAGCTGGGTTCTCAGTTCCCAATCTCATGTTCTCGGTGGGAGCTGGGTAAGGGACACTCCCGCCTAGTCTTAGCAGTGCTTAGCCGGAGATTAAGGGTTTCAAGATGGCCGAAAAGGCGTGACGTGTTTTGCTGACAGCGTCTGATGCAGGCCATCAACAATGGGCGCCGAATGTTGACGTGTTCCTTGATATCATTGCGTTCGTAAGGTCTGAGTTAAGTCGGTGAAGATTGAGAAAATATCTTCCAAGTAGCATGTGGGGGAAGTTTGGGCTAGACTTGAGCTCTTAGCGTGTTGAAAATGTCTGAGTGTGGATTGGTGCTCTGCGGCAAGAAGTCGATTGGGGGGACATCTATTGCTGGCAAGTTTTCATGCGATGCAAGTTTAGTTTGTTTTACAGTGCAGCATTTATAGCGTTACCTGTTTGATGCATACTGATATCGTAAGTGTAAGCACGGAGTTTGGTTTCTTTTTGTCCTGACTGCTGCTCTCATTCTGACATTTTGTTCGGCTAACCTCAGGTCCGCAACCCAAACATCCGTGATTGGTCGGTCAGCCAGCCATGGTGAAGATCGAGCGGATCTCTGTCGGCGCGCAACGGTGTGGAGAGGGTCCGCACTGGCTCGAGGACACCCAGTCGCTCGTCTACGTCGACATAGTCGGCCAGAACATCCTACGGTGGGACGAACGGCTTCAGAAGGAGACCAAGATTCAAATAGGTGCGTCTACACTCCGTCGGTGGCACGCCTGGTTTGCCTCACCCTTAGAGTGACGCTGGCCGCGAGCGTTCCCAGCCGGCGCGGCATCGGCGCGCCGGCTGCTGCCGCGCGCTCTCCAAAACACGACCTGGCACGAATGCATCGCAGGCTCGGACCACTGTTTGAAACGATGCCACGATGTTGATGTATGCGCACACATCATCACGCATAAAAGCGCGGCACGTAATGGTCGGTCAAATTACCCGACCACTTCGAGCTGTTAGGCAGCTGCCGCTCCACACTGGCTGCTTGCTTTGGGCGCCGACTGCCTTCGCTTCTGAACTGGAAAGTTTGGCAGTCTATGGCTACCGTTGCCACCGCCGGCGGTCGGAAGCAGACGGCAGCGATGAGCCAACTCTCGGCCAGGTGTCCACCAGTGGTAGGTGCCGCGGGGTAGTCACGGTATCTCAGGAGCGCAAGTACTGAAGGCTGCCGGCAGCGTGCGACGCGGCTCGAAAGAACAACACAAGGGAAGCAGTCACTTTTGTCAGGAACGCGGTCGGGCCGAGACTGCATCAAAACGGCCTCTGGCTGCTCTGCCGGTCCCGTCGCGCTCGCTGCGGTGCGTCCAGCTCGTCCTCGAACAAAGCCCGCTCCGGCTTTGGCCCCGCCTCTGGCGATCTGACGGACGGTGTGCCGTGTCCTTACCTGATAAAGCCATCGATACTGTCCGCTTCGTACCGATTTAATTAATGGAGTTGTACTCTCTGCGCTGATGTGGTGCTTTTTAAAGCATTGCGCGGATTATCTTGTCATGATCAGCGCCGTTACGAGAGGCAGAATCCGCCACTGGCACACATTGTAACGCACTCAGAACGGCTCGATCGTTATCGGCAACTATGTCACCATGTCAAACACGGAACACGCACACTTCTCCATCGCGGCATGGTAAGCAGCCCGCTCGCAGCTGCGGTAGGACTGATAAGCTCGTTCCCTGACCTCCTGCGAGCCGATGTGCTAACACAGGTCGCCTGCTAGCGGTCTTCTCAGGCTGGCGGTCCGTCCAGTGTCCACCTCGCGAACTGGTGAGGAATTGCGGCATTTTAACACCGTGGCATTTGTACGCTTTTCTGGTACAGAATGGTAGCAGGCCAGACTACAGTCATTAAACTTGGATCTGGGCGTAATAACCCAATCTGTGTGGTAACGCCATGAGAAAATCTTTATTTGATAATTTGATTCCGGCGGCCTCACTGTCGATGGCATTATCAATAGAGGCTGGACACGGGCCTGGCGTTTAGTAACGACCCCTTAGCTCAGCTGATCCGACCGTCTAGATATAAGACTTCACGGGCTCAGCGTGCGGCCAGTGACTGCGGCAAACTGCAGTCAAGCATCAGCGGCGCCGTCCCGCCCAGTTTTCGAAGGACTGGCTGCGCTCGACACACGAGGACAGCTATCAAGCATCAGCGGCGTCGTCCCGCCCAGTTTTCAAGGGACTCGGGCTGCGCTCGACATACGAGGGCAGCTGTAGCTGGCAGCCGTGAAACGTGCAGCTAATGCGTGTTGAGACTGCCTTCAGTATGTGTGTGTGTGGGTGTGCGTGTGCGTGTGCGTGTGCGTGTGCGTGTGCGTGTGGGTGTGCGTGTGCGTGTGCGTGAGCGTGAGCGTGGGCGTGGGCGTGGGCGTGGGCGTGGGCGTGGGCGTGGGCGTGGGCATGGGTGTTGTTGGACGTGCCTGCCCTATATTGTGGCCTTTGCCCGGCAGAGTCTGACACACCTTCACGCAGCCCGATCGCCGGCTTCACCACCCTGGTAGTGCCCATACAGGGCCAGGCGGACACCTACGTCATCGCCAGGGGCAACAGCTTGGCCACCCTGCAATGGGACGGCTGTTCGCAGGCGCGCACCGTCCGGGAGTTTGTCCGTGTCGAACAGGACCTGTCGTTCCCAACGCGCTTCAACGACGGCAAATGCGATCCGCAGGGAAATCTGTGGGCAGGTGAGACGTCTTTGCAATGTAGGATACACGCACGAGGCGTGGAGGGAGCGGCTTGGCGGGGGGAAAGGCAGTTTGGTATCCCTCCTCGCGTTATTTAATGTACGACAATGGTTGTATTTGGATTTATGTTCACTCACCGGAGATGCGGTGAATCTCAAGAGATCGTCAGTAACTCACATCGTTCCTCAGGGCTGGATGGGCTCGTCTAGACGTGTGATTGAGGCGTGCTTACCCTCGGCTGCCAGGAACGATGGGTTCGGAGACTGCGCCCGGTGTCTTGGCGCCAGGGGTGGGCTCAATCTACTCGTTCAGCTCCCGCGACGGCAGCGCCACCAAGCGGTACGGCGACATCACTTTATCCAACGGGATGGCCTGGAGCGCAGACGGCTCGCGCTTCTTCTTCATCGACACTACCGCGATGAGCGTGGACGTGTTCGACTACGATATGAACAACACAGCTATCAGTAAGTCATGCGTGGCAATCGCACACGCTTGGTCCTCGCCCAGTCCCTTCACGGCGTGGGAGATGCATTAATGCGTTTCATTCACTTTTCCGACGCCGTTCCGCGTGCAATGCGTTGAGAAAATCCTTCAAGAGGCTGTAGCTACTAGATGGGTCCTTGGGATATACAAGCACGCTGAAACCTTAGGTTTCTCTGGTTTTGAGGCGACTTGTTTGAACAAGAAACAAAAGGTTGAAACTGCGTTGGATTAACTTATGCATTAATACTTACTCGAAAGAGAGTCGGGACGCTTTAAAAAGACACGCACGTGACACTTTTGAAACAAAAATAGTGACGAGCAAGGTCATAAATGGGCTTGTCTAAATGTCAGCGAAAGGGTACTTCTGCAGTTCGTTGACCAGTCCAGTCACCCTTTGGACTGACCTTTGCAACCAGCTTTGACATTTATAATTGAAATATCAACCGGTTTTTAGCACAAGGCAACACAATGCCCTAGAAATCATGATGTAACGTTTTTAAAGCACTTGCATGTTACTATTTGATCGAAATTGGTTCCTTGGTGATAATGCGACATCACCAGAATTAAATTCCCAATTTGATTGACATCGGGAACACACAATGTGCGAGGAGCCAAAAGCCCACACAAGGTGAGAATACGGAACCAACCCCGTGTGGTATAAAAGAGAACAGAAAATGACGCGACAATGGGGGGGAGGGGATAGCAAGATTGTGAGTGGATCTATGCAGCCGGTAACGTGCATTCAAGCACAAGCTATGGGCCTGCCAGTTTCGTATCTTTTATCTTTTAAAAAAAAAATGATGGAGACCGACGGCAAGTGTGGTGGACTGCGACTGCAGGGAAACCAACTGCCTGGTTTAGTGTGAATTTGCCTTTGGACGGCAGCAATGCCCAGCTATGCGGCAATTTTGACGGCAGCAATGCCCAGATCACGAGACGTTCTAAACGCGATGTCGAACTGACGGCGACGCCAGCAGTCGACCTGAGACACACAGTGGTCCCGTAAACGAAGGCTTGTGAGTGGTTGCCAGGTTGTCAGAAATGCTTGGTAAGACTTGAAAGGCGTCAAACCGTGGCGAAATGTGTGACGTCATTAACTCAACCAGAACTTTGCGCAGTTATGGCGCCAAAGACACAACGAGCTGAGTACAGTGTAATCGTCTGCACTCATTTCAAGCAGATTGCCACAGTGATTAGCAAGAGTGCGGTCACTTGGTCAGAATTCGTAACAAGCTGCCATACACGGGGAGGCGCCACGGACTTCGAGTCAAGGTGGGTGTGCTTCGTCAGAGGGCCTTCTCACAGGGGGGGTTCCGACACTCTTGTCTTCCTGCCTTCGTCAGAAGGGGGGGGGGGTGAACTGTCCCCTCCGCCCCCCCCCCCTTGTTGCGCCGTCCCTGCTGTCATACATCATGACACCGTGGTCACAATGAACAATGCCGCCTCGCTATTATATTGAATGCTTTTCAGCTTGGGCGGGGATTTTTTTACTGATTCAGTGGAATGTCTGTGGACGCTGCCTAGTCGCCGTAGACGGGTACGTTTGCTCGATTGCGTCACTGATGGGCTGGGCTGTTGTTGGGAGGGTGCTATGAATTGAAGACGTCTAAAAGCAACGCAGGTGAGCTGAAATTATACACTCTAAGAACGTGACCTTGCATTCAGGACACGCTAACGCTTGTGAACGCCGTAACTAACGCTAACGCGGTAACGCAAGTGTGACTCTGGTCAAGTTGCGGAGGCTTGTGCCAGTCTGGCAATATTGCTAATACGCTGTGTTAACGCAGTTAATGCCGCCCTTTTTGAAGCCGTCTCAAACGCCGCGCGTCGTGGTCCAACCAGTAAAACACATCTGCGATTTCTGGGGTGAGCCGCGTCCAATGTATGACGTCACACTCGTCAGGAAGCCCTCGTAGGGTGTGTGACGTGCCATTCGTCAGGTAACCAGCCTCGGGTGTGTGCCACTACACTCGTTAGGTAGCCCGCGTCCGGCGTTTGATCTCGCACTCCCCCCTCCCCAGGTAACCGGCGTCCCGTGTTCGACTTGGCCGCCACCCGCACGCCCGGCCTGCCGGACGGTATGACCATCGACACGCAGGGCCGCCTGTGGGTGGCGCTCTTCTTCGGCGGCACGGTGATCTGCTTGGACCCCAGCACGGGCCAGATCGTGGACCGGGTGCACATGCCGGCCACCAACATCACCTCCTGCGCGTTCGGCGGCCCCAGCTTCGACACGCTTTACGTGACCTCGGCCACGGAGGGTCTGACTCCGTGGCAGATGAAGGCCCAGCCTGACGCTGGCGCCACTTTCAAGGTCACTGGACTGGGAGCACGAGGATTGCCCGGCGTTAGCTGGCGCGTGGACCACGAGGCGCTGCGCACGCTGTGATGCAGTCCACCCGGGCCTTGCATGCGCGGCTCGTAGTGGTCGCTCAGACTCCGGCGTTGCATAGATCACGGCGCCAGCTAAAATTTTGCAGGTTTTGAACAGCCCGCGACATTCTGGGTAGCATCGGCAGAGCGCGGTTTGCATGCCAGCGCGCTTGGATGTAGAAGCGTGGTAAGTGTGGCACGTGGCACATTAGCGACGCCACACAGTGGCGTTCTAGAGTTAAGTGTGCACGAATATAAACTCTGTCACCAAGACGGTTTTTCTTTTTAGGACGTGCTCGGAAGTTTCAAATGGCAGCCATACATGCACAGGCTGGACGTAATAAACTGTATTATCTGCTTTGCACTATCATATGGGGATTATCACCATTACTTACACACAACTGCCGCGAGAACATTTCGTGCCGCAGCACGGATGCGTTCAAGACGCAGCCATTTCTTTTGTTGCATTCGGTACGAAGCGACTGCAATGAGGCAACTCGGCCCGAAACCTGCCCTCGTTTTTGGTAACATCCATAGCTCACCAACAGGAGCACCATCCCACCGACAACCGGGCGGTCATCGTATCACCGAAGCCCCTCGACCCACTTGGTCAATGATCAAGACTCAGGAGGCCCTTTCCATCCGGTCTCGGACCAGAAAGTTGCCAAGGACAAGCCCATCCCGGACCGAGAATTTCTTCCTTTATTACAAGCACGAGTCATTCACATAAGTTAATGTAGAGTTGGCTGAGGTGACATGTCCGTCTGTGTCCGTTGCGCTGAAATGATGGCGTGATTTTTCGGCTTCCTGCTGCGTGGATGACATCACTGTAGCCCGGCGGCGGCGGCGACCGAGAAAGACGTCCCCGCGGCCGCCGGCCGGGCAACACGGACCGTATCATATATCACACATTTACAAGTCAGTCAGGCGGCTTCCGCAGGAGCCACCAGGTTGTACGCGAGCCTACGTCAGCTTCTTCGCCCGCTGGAACAGCGTGTCCACCACCTTGCCCATGCTATGCATGGTCTCCAGCGCCGTGTCGTAGGTGTCGTCCTTGCGCGCCTCGTCAAACACCACGAGCACGTCGTCATTCTGGTCCAGGATACCGCCGAACTTGGCGTCCAGGATCATCTGCGAGAGCTTGCGCTCCACCTGGTCCTGCGAGAGCTTGATGGTCTGCGCGATGTAGCCCACCTGCCGGCGCCGGTCGGCCGGTCAGCCCGGTAAGCGGAGCGCACGGCATGCACCCCGAGCCGGCGGCCGGCCGGCTCGGGTCACGATCACCAAAGTCGAACAATCACCTTGTTTCATCTATCAAAAGTGTTCATCGTGCACCATAGTCGAACCGGCACCTTAGGCAGATTCCAACAGGCATTTGAGATGAGGAGCAAGTATTCGTGCACACTTCAGCTCCGCCTGGCTGCACGGGGCCCGAGCACCGCTGAGGGCATGCCGAGGTGGACAGCCCGCTCTGAGGCCGGGTACAGGCCCGGCGGCGCCGGTGCACCGCCGACAGGTGCGCGGGCCACGCGACATACCTTGTACACGCGAGTAGGGCTCGATTATCCTGCACAGGTTCTGCTCCAGCATGGTGTCGTACAGCGTGTTCAGGTGCGCCTTGATGATGGGGTCGCCCGCCAGCTCGCGGCTGTACTCGGACAGTCCCTGCCGGGCGGCGCACGCCCGTCACCACCGCGGCGACCCACCGAGACGAGCATCGACACCACCGATACCCAGCGCAGGGGATGGACCACGCTAAAACATGCAACTGCCACATAATACTTACTTGTCAAGTGCAGAGGGTGGGCCAGACAAAACCTTGCAACCTTCACAGAATGTTCACCAGCTAGAGGCCTGTCAACGTGTTGGGTATTTTGGGAGCGGAAGGGGGCGGGGGCGGGTGGTGGGGGGAGGGGTCCGGCTGCCACAACTTGATGTATGGCATGACGGTCACGTCTGCGACAACAGACACGGAATCTGCTTAATAGCGAAATCACGCACGCACCACATTTTCTATGCCGAGACTGAGGTGCCACGCACCATCCACATACACACTCAAAACCCAGTTGTCCCCGCACGTCGCGCTGCCGGCCCCTGTCGCCGTGAGAAAAGGCGGCCACTGAAGAAGAGCGTACCTTCTGAAAGTCCGCCAACGACCGCTTGTGACTGGCCTGTGCCACCGCCTTCATGGCGTCGATCTCCCTGCCGGCGTACTTGAGCGCCAGCTTGCCGCTGACGATGCCGTTAACGTCCTCCGGCCTGCGGGCAGCGGCCGAACGTTAGCTTACGACAGCGCTCACCAGGCAGCGCTGACCGGGTTCTGCCCCGTCGCAGGCGACGATTCGGAAACAATGGTGCTGTTCAACCCACAGAACGAGTGCCGGGACGTGCACATGCCTCGCAATATTTGACGGGCCACAACAGCGAGCTACCATCTGTTATTTCCTGATATCTTGTACAGGTGCCAATGCCATAGATTTTTCATTTTTGATGGCCTGCACACATCACTCACAAAAAGGAAAAGTTTAACTGTTGATGTTGAAACGTTTTCCCTGTCGTTTTAAAGTGAAATGTACTCTCACGTTATGGTCACAAAGGTAATGGCCCACTCATGTTTTACCAAATTCAATAAAATCGTGATGTTGTCATTACTGACAACTTAACCAAGAAAGGGGCCAAACTGATCGTCGATAACATCATATCTCGCGGACATCTGGAGATAACCTAACTCAGATTTAACTGCAAAACATGACTTCTATTAAAATTACAATCTCAACATTATATGTGTGCATGCAACAAATTTAGGTTAACTAATTAATTGCAGCAACATGACACCTAACCCCATGCACGCAGGTCGTCGCATAGTGAGCATGAAGCCGGTAACACGATCCACAGCAGGGTGCATGCCAGAGCGACAGCCACGCGGCTTGCCTGACGGCTCCACGCTTGCGTACACCGACAACTCCCGCCACTCACGTGTTCAGCATGATCTTGGACATGAGCATGTACTTCAGCGCCAGCAGCGCCTTGCCGTCCTCCACGCTGTCATAGCCCTCGAACGCCTCGTAGAAGTACGAGTAGGCCGTCTTGAAGTCGCGCTCGTCGGCCGCGTGCAGCACGCCCGACTGCATGTCGAGCGCCGCCTGCACCTTGGGCGGCGTGTAGATGCCGTTGGCCGTGGTGCGTGCCGAGGTGAGCGCGGCGCGCGCCTTCGGCAGGTTGCTCAGCGCGTGGTACGTCTTTGACTCGAGCAGCTGGACCTGCGCGGCGGACACACCGGCGTCAGAATTGGCGCGGGGCGCGGCGGCGGTTACCGGATGTTTCGCCGGTTGTGGAGAGTAAAGCAAGGGTTTACGCGCTAGCAACGCTCAGTATAGACGTGACAGGCCATAAAGCCGGCCCTCCCCCCTCCCGCCCAAACAACGCAAGAAACTGCGCCCGCTGGCTGGTTTGTCGACCTGGCCTCCTCTAGCAGCCTTCCGTGCCTGCAATCGACGAGCCTAGTTTTCCGTTTCACCCCACTCCTCCTCGTCCCCTGCTCATGTTGCACCAGTATATCAATCCAGCAGTGTAATATTCCCGGAGTTCATCGGCAGCCCACTCCCCGCACCGCTAAAAACGTACAGCATGACGCCCCGCAACACCCACCCACTCGGCACACTGACCTCCACCAGCAGGTTTTTGTCGTCGAGCTTCTTGAGTTCCTTGAGCAGCGCCGAGCCCAGCGCGAGCGCCTCCTGGTACTGTTTGGTGTCGAAGAAGAGCGCGACGAGCCGCGCCTCCAGCGACTGGCGCAGGAACGTGCGCTTCTCGGCCTTGGCCCAGTCGATGCACTCCTGCGGCAGCGCGGGGGAGGGGGGCGTCAGCGTCGGAAGACGGAGCGCGGAGCCGGAGGACAAGGACGCCGTCCGGTTACGGCCACACCAGGCAGTGATCGCACACTCCAGGGAGACCTCCGCGGACCGTCCCGCCGTGTAACAGCACACTCCCGAAGACTTCGGCGGACCGTCTCAGGGTAACGCTGCGCGTCCGAGCCGCGATGTTTATCTCAGTGGTGCCCCCCCCCCCCCCCGCCGTACACAGTAGAAGATATTACATGTGCTACAGTGCCTTCCACGAATAACCCGATGCACACGCACATACAAGGTCGCACCAGACGTCGGCGGCAAAAGGCACCAGTACAAAAAGGCCTCGTCGCCAGGTGGTTCGGACGGTGGCCAGCGGGTGGTCACTGACCTTGCAGAGCTGCACCTCGATGCCCGTGTCGGCCTCCATGTCGAGGAACATGTCAACCAGGCCGCGCACCAGTTTGGAAGCCTTGGCTTTGCTGATTAGACCTAGGAACGGCCGCGATGCCCGTATGAGGTCGGCCAGCTCTGAAACCAGGCGAGAGCAGATATGAACCTCGACGTGCCACAGCCTACATCTTGTAAGCAGGCTCTGGTACAATGTTTCTTACAAACTTAATTTTTTAACTGGAAGTTCTTAGGAACTACTTTTGCTTTTACCTTGATACACCTAACGCATGATAATTAATACACAATAAAAGCCTGCCTGGAATATACACAACACATTTGGTTGCAAAACACATCAGCAATGTCTGCAATGAAGAATGACATTCTGTGAAGGGACAAAACCCAAAGCAATGGCAAAGCAGTTTGACATGCATCAAACCCAACGTAACTTCTCCACAACACTTATGTTTCTCCCACGTCATGAATGTATGCATTCTAAAATAAAAAACGGACATATTTGGGATTGGATTGGATTGGATTGGATTGGATTGGATTGGAAACTCTGAAAATGACAGTCAAGTCTCAGCCAGGGATATGTTTTGCCTCCTGTAATGTTCATTTAGCCCTGAGCACCATACTACATGGTGTCAACTCCCCTGTTTTGGCAGTGATCAACATATCTCATATGCATTGAAAAAATGCACTGAACACCTTATCAGATCTCCCATTTATTTGATAGCAGCATTGTCAGCAGAGAGAGAAGCTAGACTACCTGACATTTCTTCTGAAATGGTCTGTATCAAGCTCATTTAAGGGAGCCAAGTAAAAGTTGGAAAAAACATGTGACTGGTCGACCTAAGCTGCCACACAAAGCTACCATGCATCAGCTCCCGACTGCGTCTTGACACTGATAACTGTATTGCCTGAACCGCTAATGTGATTATTCACCAATGTGTCAGTGTACCAACATAAGCATGCAAGAACTAATGGCATTGAACTCAAGACCATTATGAATTTGAATGACCTTTTTTGCATCACCTTGCACCATCATCTTCACCTGAACCATCATCCAAGTGTGACCTGAGCATTCACACCATATAGACAATTGTGAGGCCTGCAGTCCAGTGTGGAGTAAAAAAGGTACAGGGACATCTGGTCATATGGGGACATATGGCACAAGTTGACAGGCAATACAGGCAAAGCCACCTAGGCATACATACCTCTGGCCTTCCCTGACTTCTGGAAGAGTTCACCCAACTGCATAATGCCCTGCTCCTTGATTCGGATGGTCTCTTCATCACTGATAGGAGGCTCTGGAGATTTCACTGGAAGTAAGCATGTGAGTGTTAATCATGGATGCATAAGACAGCACACCCTTGGATCTTGGGACTGTTGGTTTTCACTCCAAGCAACCAATGATTTGTTTATCCTCAAGGGTCCCCTATTTTGACAGCAGCAGATGTCCATGAAAAGTCCTTTTTCAATAACATCTTCTTATTTGCACCAGAAACAAATTTGACACAACCATTTAAATGACAAGCAGCAACTTGAAGATCACCATGCAAATCCTAGATGGTGGGTCATGTGCTGGGTTACACTAGCTCTGAAATGAAATGAAACATTTAGTTTGACCAGTCAATTACTTCTCAATTGGCCTAGCAAGTTGGTGGGTAAGTGGAATCTTAGCTGTTCTATGCAGGACCCTAAAGTTTACCACCATTGCACTGTCATTCACATCTGGTTCTAATCAGTTGTAGTCTCAAATGTATTTCAAAGTGGTCTGATAAAAAGTGGCATAGACAATATCTTTGCCAACATAACTTAACCAAAACATAGACCAATGAGATGCTAAATTCCAGCAAGTATATTTTACCACCAATTACCATTCATGCCATATAAGCTAGATCTGTAACTACAAAAAAAAATGTAGCAAATATCATGGGCAGCTCAATATTCATTTGTTTACAGATTACAGTGCAAAATATCACATGCTTTAAGGGACACCATTGACTGCAAAGGCCATGTTATTGCTCATGGGCAATGACACAGGCAGTTCTACACATGCACAGGGAGTTCTAACCAATGCATGTCCACTGCAGGGCTAGCTTGTACATCAATACAGGTGAACACCTATGACTGGTATAGCAGGCAGTGAAGGCCATCTACCTGCACATACAGTCATGACATTTGAACCAGTGTGCCGCCTTAGACCATGTGATACATCTGCCAAGGACAATGCTTCGAAAAACACCAAAGTAGAGAAATCAAAGCAACAGTGTAACACTATTTTGAGCTTGTGCACCAATGGCCTCATGTTTGAATATCTTTTCCCCAAATAATTTTCTTCCAACTTCCCACCTGTTTGTTTATTCTTCTGATCATCTAGTGGTTTGCAAATACAAACATATTACAGAACACATATGTTGGTAAATGTTAAGCCCATAACCACACAGGGAGCCCAGTGAGATTTCTCTCACTGCACACCTAATTTTAACAAACATTATGAGCTGCTCAGAAGGATTTTGAGGTAACTGGCAACCCAATGAAATTGGATGCATCTTATCTCACAATAACTGACAAGTACAAAAAGATTGTCACACTCCCTTTAAACAATAACCATAGTGCTTCTCCTTTCCTATTGTACCACTACCTTCTCTTGCAACTACCTTGTAATAAATACTGGATGGGCCTGCTCATGAGATATATTAGCCTAACAAGGTTTGAGAGGTTCCCCTGGTATGGCACATGTCTACTGTCTAGATATGTCAAGAATTTCAAGAACATGACACAACCATTAAGGTGTGTTGGGTCACAAATCATGCATCAAAAGGTGCTGTTCATAGTGGCCATGTCATCAGTCCCATTGCTCACACACATCAAAAAACATGTTTAATGGCAGTGCAAAGCAACTGTGATGGCAAATATGATACTGTACACATTCATTAGTACTCACATTGTACTCTATATACACAATTGAAACTTGTCTTTAGCATTATCCATACTTCAATATCTCACCAAATACTGCAGTTTTAGCATTCAAAATTTAAGCAGCAATTATGAGCAAAGGTGTGCCAGTCTGGTAGGTGTAAAAAAATTCCAACAGCACACAAATGAAGCAAACTAATAATCATGTACAAAAAAAATGTAATAGAATGCCGGCGTAACAAATTAACCAGCAAACTGAGATGATTTTGAGTTGCAGATCACAAAAACAGATTGCATTACTTGATAAAAAATATATGAAACTAATAATAAAAGCATAAATTAGAATATTGAACAAAATGAAAATAACATAACAATGAATATATGCTACAAGTAAAAAGTCAAAAACTACCATTCTGTTGCTAATAACCAACTTATGCCTACTAAATCAAAATTATACTACAGTATTACAATAGGACAGCAATATTGATACACAATACCTAAAAAATAACATGCTTAAAAACACCATAGTATGTGTGTCTTGTTTCATTAATTTCATTGGCATTCTGAAGCATGCACACATGTGACCAAAGCTCAAGTCCCTCAACACCACACTGTGGCATGGGGTAATGTTACTTTCAAGAGGTCATCATATGGGCACAAAACCAATCTGGCATTCTTGTTTATCACATCTCAGCTGAAGCATCCAAGTAAAGGCAATCTGATCTTCTAGCCCCAAAAGAAATTGCAGGACTTTGCCTGCTGTGAGTAATGCTCCATGTCAAGTTGCTAGTTGGCTATTTGACAGAAAGCAAGTCAATGAAAGGCCATGTCAACTCTAAATCACTTAAGCCATGCAAGCCATGTGATCCCTTTACCCAGTTGAACATAAAAACAAAGGTATCATGGACATGAAAGGAACAGTCTAGCATATAAAGAATCAGGCAGGGGTATGGTTGAATGCAAGGTGAAAGGGAAGTGAACAGCAGCTTACCCCACCACCACCAAGATAGGACCAAAAAAGGTCTTGCCCAGCTTTTGTACCACGCATTCTCCAAGTCAAAGGGCTGGGGCACAAGCTTGCGGTTGGGGGTGCTAGAGCTGTTTAACTGAAAGGGAACTATCCCTGGAGCCAGGTAACACAGCAGAGTGCCAGATTGCCTACCAACCATCACTCTAAAAACAATTCAACTCCTTGAAAAACATTCGTTGTCAATCAGGATAGGTTAAAGCCTGTTCATTTCTGTGCATCAAAATTTGTATTTGACATAACACTAAAAGCCGGGCAGGTATAAGGAACTGTCTGTGAAACTTGTAGACAGATTCGGCGCATGAGGTAACGTATCAAAAAGGCAAAAATGAGAGAAATACCAACTCTCAAGGGGCAAAATAGTGGACAACATACTTACCTATTTTACTGTACAGTTCAATTCCTTTGTCTTTATCTGTATGCGAAACGGCTTGCGCCCTTTCAAGCAGCGCCGCCGCAGCCATCTTCAACGACCGGAATTTACAACAGTAACGTAAGCGACAAATCTGAAGCCCGAGTGGCGCAATGTAAACTAGCCAAGTCACCGTTGAGCTAGCGCACAGCTGTTCATTACAAAATTGATGGAAAACCGCAAGATTCTTTACTTATTTTTCATTGTGGCATTTATCTTAGCAACTAAAGCTAGTTAAAAAAATTTATTGCGTATATAGCTGAAAATGAGCTCAGAAGGGAAACTTTTATTTTGTAAACCATATTCGGGCACCCTCAAGTACTACCAATTTCACGTGCTGGACGAAGTCAATCAAAGGTATTGGAAATGCAACCCAAGGAGCATTTTCGGCTACCTTGAATGCCTGTGAGGATGACTCGGAACGCGGCGCCTCGCGTGCACGAGAGACGTGCGGGATTTGCGGTGGGGATGGGATTACATCAGGGGTGCAGCCAGAGCCTGGGGAGTGGGTGCACAGGATCTACAAAAGGCACTTCCCCCCAAAAAAATGTTGGGTACGTTCCATTTGTTTTGGTGGACACGTTTTATGTATATATATATACATATATATATTTTTAAAATTATGTATATATATATATATATATATATATATTTGTATATGTATCTATGCATGTGCGTGTGTTTATGATGTGTAATAAATCGCCGGGCTCTCCATTTTACCATGATTGGTCTTGTGTGGACTCTTAATATAGATAAAACCCAGCAACTTTCTCAGAGTTTTGTCTGGGTCGTGCAGAGATGCCCGGGATTCCGCGAATGTAGATTGAAAATAAAAATGAGTCAACCAATTGTATCAACATGGCCAAACCATGTTTGACATGTTCAACATTCAGGCAGAATTGAGTAGTGGTAAAAATTATGTAGCGTAGTTTTGAGCATAAGTGCTCGCATATGTTACCAACAAAGAACTCCGCAGGGCATTGCAGTCTTAGGCCGTGTAGCGTGGGCCCCGCGACTAACATAAGGTCGTGGCTAACAGATGGATGAAAATGGTGACGCATGAGAAAGAAGTACATTTGAACGCTTTAGGACGCCAAATAGAGTATTTAGAGGTATTCCCGGTATATATTTCACCTGTGCGGTGATTAGATTGATGACTATATTATTGGGGCTTTATGACGCACTCAGCTGCTGGGACTTTATATGGCGTCGCTAGCCTCTCATCCTGGCGGGAAGGGTGGGCACTGCGGGGAATCGAACTTTGTCCCTGTTGTTTCCCAGACGTGCAGTGGTTTACGCAGGCGCGTTCACCACTGCACTCTCGCACACCGCTCGCATGCTCAAACCTTTTGATGGTAGTTTCACTAGTCAATTCTGCACAATAACGCATGTTCTTGAGGACCCGTGGGATAGCCTTGTGCGTGTTGAACTCATTTTGATCCCCCCATTCAACAATAATGAGACCCGTTATTTCTCTTCGGGTCGAGGGGCCCCCTCGAGTGCAGCACTGTGGGGCACATTGTCGTCCGCAGCCAAGGGCTGAAGGGCCATTCCGTCCCACCGCGGTGTGTTTTCCAGCCGTCATCCTGGGGGTGACATTCCCTCGCCGATCCGGAGGCTCGTAGAGGGATACATCACATCACATTGGTCCCCTTCCTGACGAGGAAGGCCTTCTGACCCGCACATGTAATCCCGGATCGACGCATGAAGCGCCATTAACGCAACAATATCTCTGCTCGCCGCAGGCGGTCAAATAATTGGCACACAGACTCCAGTTGGGCCCTTGACACAGGACTCTCCTATTGCTTTCATGTGATATATATATATATATATGTATATATATATATATATATATATATATATATATATATATTTAACACATAATGAATAAGTTTTTTCCTTCCATTGTCAGAGGGGCTGACCAACGCAAGAGGCTCTCTGCCATTCGTGCTCCCGTCCCCGTCCCTGTTGAGCAAATCTTCCCCTGACCGATTCGAGGCCGCTTGTTGACATTGAATGCCTTGTTAGGCACTGTTGGACCCTTGAACGATACAGGAGCTCGACCAATGTAAATCACGAGCCCGGCTTTGTCGCTGATTGGGAAATGAGCCCCCCAGAGCTCAGATCAACACGGAGCCAACTGTTCGTTGTTCGTGATCTCTGGTCGAAGTAGAGGAACGCCCTGTCTCAGGGGTCCCTATCGGTGCAAAAGATCGTCTTATTGACATTTGAGATCACGGCCCTATAGGTGGGGTCCTTAATGTGACCTAGAGCCAGCCCTTCGGACCCTTCAGCCATTCCATCTTCCTCGTTGGTCTCGAGAGACCCTTCGGCCCCTCTTTCAGGCCCCCACAAACACCGCTCCAACTCGGGGCCACTTGCTGCCACAGGATCCCTGTTCGGCACTGTGGCTCGTTACTAACACAGGAACCCCTCATTGTGTCAGAAACTCCGGACATCAAATCGCGGACCCTGGCCTCGTTTCTACTAGGGAAATGGGTCCCGAGGCTCAGATAAACATGAGGCCGACTGTTTGGTGTTCTTGGTCTCCGACCGACTTCGACACATGCATTGTCTCACGGGTTTCTCAAACAATCATATGGGCCCCGACCAGTGCAAATCACTGTCCCCGGTATTGTAACTGACTGGGAAATGGGCCCTCAGGCCCATACCGACACGGAGCCGACTGTGTGGTACGGTGGTACCCGACCGATATCTAGCCCCTTATCGACTCAGCGTTTTTCCGACCGGCGCAAAGGGCCCTCTGATCGTTCCTTGAGGGTCCGTCTCCGCAGGTCGGGGTCGTTAAATGAGACTCCGACCAGCCTTGTGTGCCCTTAGCTCCTCCAATCGCGCTCTTGATCGTCGGACCCAGTTGGGCCTTTAGGCTTTTCGGGCCTCCTCAAGCACTGCCTCTGACAAATTCTGGGTCTCTTGACAACACAGGGCCGCTGTTAAGGCTGTGAGCCCGAGCAATGCAATCACTGGCTCCGGCTTTGTTCCTGCTTTGGAAATGGACCCTTGAGCCCATGCCCGCCGTGGATTCGACGGTGCGTTACTGATGGTGTCGACCGAAATACAGGCCCTTATCGACTCTCTGGGCCCCCTGATCAGCGTGCAGGGCCCTCTGGCTGGCATTGGAGTGCCCCGCCCGATGGACCGGGTACACCTCCAGCTGGATTTTTAGGCCCTTCTGGCCCTCAAATCAGAACTTAAGGAGGGGCACGTGCCCCTGTGCATCCCACCCCCACCCCCCTTGTCAGCGCTACTGGCCTGAATATCTACCTACCTACCTAGTTAGGAGAAGGCTTCATCCCCCCCCCCAAAAAAAAGAGATCCCGAACTTAGGCTCCAGTCCGCACAGTTCGAGAAAGAAGTAGGCGAAATTTGGGGAGAAAGCCGTTTGATGGCGCATTTTGGGGTATGTTACGCTATTTCTGACTTAACCCTTCTCATTTTGTTAAACTACACCCTTGCAATGGAGTCTGTGTGGGCTGGAAGCATTAGCTGGAATTGGACAAATCTTAAGATTTATAATTCATAGTTGCGGTTGAACCGATAGTTTTCATCGTGAAACAACGATGCATTGGGAATCGCAATTGGCGTATGGCATACGCGTATATATTGCAGCGGAATTCTTATAATGACCGCCTGTGCTCCGCCAAACGAAGCATTGCGTGCATGGTCGGATCTAAGAGGGTTTGTCGGGTCGAACCCCTCTTAGGGCTGGGGCTGCCAGGCGGCATTTTACGCCGCGATGACACGATGCTATCTAGTGTCTCGGTCGACGCGTACAGTTGCTTCAAGGTTGAACGGCCGTCTGATCACGTGACTGACCGTTGTAATTGACTGCCCCCAACTGATTATCCATCTTGCACCGATATCTTGACAATGGCGGTTGCGAGCAGCCCGGGAGTGGCACAAAAAGATGTGCCATGCAAAATGCTACGGTCGCAAGTATCGCGGGGCACGCGCTCAAAGATGGATTTTACTCCCTTACCCCGGGCTTACTCGTTTGGGCCAAATCTATCACCCAGGACACGGACACACCCGGGAGTGGCACACTTCGACGAAGAATGGAAAAGTAAGATTGCAATGATCGGTCATACGTGCCACGCGTCATGTCACTCACGTGCTGAAATATGAATTTGGCTATTTTTGACGTGTTTGCACGTTTTTTCTCGATCTCGCGGCACCCAGGGCACGAAGCGACTCGAAGGTGGCATGCTTCGATCGGCAATCTAATGATCAATCACGTGGTGTAAGATGTGATGTCACACGTGCCACGTTCCATGGTCACACTGGCTGTAAAGATTCACTTTGCTGATTTCGTCGGTTTTTACGTTCTACGCCACATTTCCGCACTCAGAGCATGTAGTCACACGGGACTGGCATGCTGCGATAAGGAATGAAACGGCTTGTCATGCGTTTCCACCTGTACGTGCGCATGGGCTACTTGTCACACCCACAGGCTTTGGAAAGATTGAATTTCGTGTTTTTGAAAGGTAAAGCTTTGTGACACGTCGCAGCACTCATGCCAAGGAGACACTGGGGAGTGGCATGCGTAGATAGGGAATCGAACACACAATCACGCTGTATGAATTGTCATGTCGCGCGTGCTGCGCGTCACGCGTGCGCGAGCCAGCACGATAGATTTGGCCGTTGCCGGCCGTTTTTCACATATTGCACCATATCTCGATATAGATATTGCGACTTTGTGGGTATACGTATGTATGTTTATATATATATATATATATATATATATATTTATATTCATAATAGATATTGCGTCATACCTTGGCAACCAGAGCAGCTATAACTGTGATAATCGTGGTTTAAACCGCAAAAGATAGATTATTAAAACGTATACGTTTTCATTGACGCAGTGAAGCAAGCGTTCAAACGCGTGTTGTCTTCTAACGGGCTTCACGACATACGTGCTGCCACAAAAAAACTCCTGCAGACTTAGTGACCTGAGATCTGAATGCTAAGACCATGGCCTCGAAATGAATAAATAGCCTAAAACCTGATTTCATCTACGTAGAAAGCTACCATAGCAATCTGACGAGACAGAACGAGATGAAATGAGAA